ACACCACTTTCTCTCTCGTCCTCCAAACTTCTATTCTCGCCGGCCTTATGCTTGCCAGCAAACTCGAGTGGGTGTAACGAGTACTGCTCCGATACCAAATTGCAATGAGCCTCAGAGCTCATCACACGATGGAGTGCTCAAACCAACATACGTGCCTTACAAATTCACAGTTTGCATTGTCTCACACATTGCACAAAGAGAAGATGAGTAGTAGACCAGATAGCGCAGCTCAGTTAACATAACCAGAATTTTAGGAAGAGAATCAAGAGTTTAACAGTCTAGCGCTCAAGCCTTCCTCAAGCATGAAGAGTTTCCGCATGTGCGCTCATCAGCGCCTGTCGTCAACACGAAGTTCAGCGCTCTACAGATACGCATCCACCAGGGTTCATTCTCTCTCCCTCTTATCTTTCTCTCTCACTTGATGGTTCTGGTCTCCACTCTACACAGTCTTCTTCTTCTCTACATGCACACTCCCTTCTATTAACACACACATGAGGACCAACTCTGAATATTACTCACTGCTCTACTACTAACCACTAACTACATTGCTTCCTGGTGCTGGCGCAGCTATGGATGCCTTCTTCTCTGGCAGCGTCTACTTCCTCTCTCAGCGTAGCTTCCACACTAGCGCACAAGTGCACAAACACTTCCACACTCTCGTGCTAATGAACATCTGCCCGAATGGTAGGCTGGCCAGTCCTTTTGTAGTTTTGGAATGCACTTCAACTTGTGCCAGCCTCTGCTTCCTGGGGCCTAACTGGTCCCGGTACCACATCCCTACGGCCTGTCTGCTTCTGAATGTAAAGTCTGGAACCTTCCCGAATTTCAATGGGTCTGTTGCTGCTTGGACCTTTGGGTCATGACTTTTCATTTGGGAATATGACTTTTGATTGTGGATAGTGACTCTTGCCTGTGGGTCACGACTTTTGTCTGTGATACTGCCTTTACCGATGTGACTCTTCAATATGATTTTTCATTAGGAAACGTGACTCCTCTTAATGGCTTTTATTATGAGACGTGACTCGTCCTTGAGATGTAACTTTTTGCTGGGTGCCTGTCGGGCCAAACTGTTGAGGTACCCGATTGTGACTTTTCTGAGTTTGACAGACTCGGTCTTTTCTTGACCTGGACATCTGACCCTGAGATCCGAATTTGGGGTCTGAATCGTGGAAGGCCTTTCAGTTGTGTAATGTGGGGACTAACTGTTTGCATAGCCCTTACCATATGCCTTTGAACCATGGCAACTGCATCCGCCAACCTTGTGGCGTGACATTCATCATATGGACCACACCTCGAGGTGTATGCATGGTTGTCATGGGTCTATCTGATGGGTATACAAGAAACTGGTCATAACCAGAATAGAGATCTATAAGTGTTATTATAGATCGTCATGCGCGGGCTTCCGAAAGTGCATCAGCATTCGGCAAGCCCCCTGCGCCTCTTACAGTTACAACATTTAAACGCTGTAAATTTTGTAGCCATCGTAAAGTCTCATTTGGTTTGACAAAGCAAAACCAGGGGGATGCATATGGTCCACTTGAGTAATCTGACACATGCGTGCGAATCTTCCCATCGAGGTACTCTACTACCTTTTCTTCATCAACTGGATTGGGGTATTATGCGCCTCGCAAATTCCAAGGTTCGTGCGGTACGAGATGAATGCTAATCATTGAGATTTTATTAACGTCAAGACGCTCGCGTTCCTCATTATTGAAGTCATATTCAGTATGTCTCCATCTCATGGTCTCCATCACTAATTCCTTCTCCTGCGCTGTAAGAAAATCAGGCTCTCCTATAATTAGCGCCTTTTCAATCTCCTCATTGATACGGCACGACCCATTTTTTGCTCTCTCTCGCATCTGCCATATCAACTCTCGTTCCCGTTAGTAGTAAACTCCCTTCTCCTCGGCTACGAGTACAGGAACTGGGTGGCACTTTTGATATATCCTTTTGTATCGCCTTCATGAACCTTGCTTGAGCCTATCCCTAAAAACAGGCGAGTCGCACTTTGGGGTTAAGTATCGCCTTCATGAACCTTGCTTGAGCCTATCCCTAAAAACAGTCGAGTCGCACTTTGGGGTTAAGTTGTTGTTGGTCGTCCTATCCTTTTAGGCAGGTGATGCACCAACTTTGTTTGTCCTTCTCCCATCAACTCCATCACCTTTTCCCTTAAGGCTTCCACTGCCTCTGGGTCCGCCATCCCATAGGTAGTCGCAATTTCCATGGCATTACCTATGTTGGCCAAACTTAGTGACAGTGCCTCTAGCTGTTTCTCCCCTTCAAACTCTTCTCTCTCGCATCTCTTCCTTTCCTCTTCGGACTCCTCAATTGTAAAAGAGTTTGGGTTGGGCCAATTTCTTACACTTTGGGTCCCCTTATTCTTGCATGTGACGACCTCATAGTTGCCACATACTGGGTCACACAATGGTTTTGTTTCGCTACGCTGTCTAGGCCAGTCAGTCAATCCGCTGGGGGTATACCCCAGTTGTTGTCTGTTTTTTGGCATTCATCATTTTTGCACTTGTTGGAGTACGTGCGGTGTCGAGTTTGTGTCGGAGCTGCGCTGTCCCTTCCAGCTCCATCTCCACTTCCTCCGTCTACCCCTTTGTCTCCATCCTGTCGGACCGCCATCCCGGCGGGTCCGGCACATTAGCAAAGGAGTTAGGCTATGGAGTGGTGTTTGCCCTCCATCTATCTTGAACGTAGTATTTGGTCCCCTTTGGCCCGAAGTGCGATGCAGGTTTACGAATTCGATTGAAGGCTTGATTCATTGGGATTGATCCTATGAAGGATCATTCTTCTGCATCTCAACCTAAGGCCTTGCCCATTGTGGGTTTTATGTTTTCTTGGGAATTTCACCCAGACTTCTTTCTGAATGACCATTCTTTAAAAAGGCCGAGTACTTTTATTGAATGGGTGGTGGAAAGGTGGTTGGGGCTTGTGTGCATAAGGCAGGTATGAGTTGCAAAAAAACGGTAAAGTTGACTCCCATAGTGTGTGTGATGTTGTTTTAAACTGTATGATCACAAGTATGGATACCACACTACTTTTTGTTGTCTGATTAACCCTTTTGTTTTGCATAACTGTGACAGCTAAGAGGAAGTGTGGGTAGCTGAGTTTCATGTCATCGTGATGACACACCCACCCGTCTTTGCTACGTGAATTAGTTTGGTCGGACGTTGGTCCAGAACCAGAAATCGAGGTCCTTGTCCAGGACATTCCAGGCTCTAACTCAGCACAAAAGGGTTACCCCTTTACGCTGAGCCTTTGCTCGTTGCCCATCGCGACGCTCTGCCCAAAGGTCAGAACCGTCACGAGGGCCGAATGGCTTATCCTTCAAGGCTTCAACTGTTCAATATCGTGAAGGAAATAACCCTCACGATACCTCATCTCAAACACTTGAGTGTCGTATGCAACGCTGGTTCCCTCGTAGGGTCGAGAGGTTTTGGGTAACGCATGAAGCGTCGCCATGACATCTAATCGCGAGGGTTCGCATAACTGAATTATATGCCTACCGTCGTTTGGGTGTCCTTCTTATACGTCCGAGTACAGACTACACTTGAGGGACTCACGCAAAAAAGGTTATGGGACGGACGCTCGCAGAATGAGGCAACACTCAGCTAGGCCTTTCCTTCGAGTGCGACTATCTTAACTCACTCACACTAGTGTTTCGGATTGGCCAAGCCTACAAACATTATTTACTTCGTGAGAGCCCGATGGTTTGATTTTTTCCTTGTGTTAGAGTTATTTTGGTGGAACAATAAGGTTTCAGCGGAAGGGTTAGCATGTTGCTGGTCGTGCGCCAAACAACTCACCACCACTCAAAATTCCCTTCTGCCCTTGACGCCATCTTACCCTTCGCCCTTTGGGGTACCGCAAGGTGTAGAGGATGGCAGGGCTCTCAGGCAGCCTTGCGCTCGCTAAAGGCTTACCCCTCTTAGCGCACGCTTCAGCCAACACCTGAGCAATCGAAGGCTGTCCCATATCTAAAGGACGACCGCGCTTTTATGGGCACCACATAGTACTCCATCGGCGCGACTACTCATGTACTTGTGCATGGCTGATCATTATGAAGGAGACTCATGAGGTAACATCCTATTTATGGGAAGCCTCGCGTGCGACATCCTTGCATTTCCGATCCGAGAAAAGTTATGGGTCAGATAGGAAAAGGGGCTAGGCGCGATATTGCAAGTAAGAACGAAATTTCGTTGGAAAGTGTCTTACATGGTTAGAATGGCCGTCTTAGTCGACCGGCATAGGGTCGCACTCGAGAGATCAGCACCTCGAGCGACGATTCGCGTGTGGGTTCGATTCGAGCGCTACCGCATGTACCCCCTATGCTACAGCGAACAAGAAACGCCCTCGACTGGGCCACTTCTGCGATTGCATACGAAAAACTTTCTCATATGGTCCGGTAGCTCGACGGGGATACGCCCACCCAAGGGATGGTGACAGCTCCTGTGGGTGGAGGTAAGTTGTACCTCACGTGGCCCTATCCTGTCGTAGGGGTTAGCGACAGGTATGGGTGGTGCACCCGGTCGAAGCAGCAGACGCTCTACGCGACAAGTTCTACGAAATCCTGTGTGACGCGGCCGGAGGGTCCCCTTGAGGGACCGATGCGCTCGACAAGTGGCGTCGTTGCTGGGGATCTCAACTGTCTACCAGGGTCCTTAAGTGAACAAACCCAGGTTAAGTGCAGGTTGACGATCCAGGCAAAACTACAATTTTTTAAAAAATATTGATTCCGAACAAGTGCCATGGTGTTGATAATTGTGTATGTGGATGTCTTATTTGATTGTGAAAGTGTGGAAGTTTGATCAAACCTTTGGGCGAATGATAAGATCTAGTCCTCGGTAGAAAGAATGGATAGGATACTAGTGAGAGAGAGGAGTATGTGATAATAGTTAGATAAAGAAGGGAAGGAACTGTTGGTCATGTCAGAAGTAAAGATTACATACAGTTGATGACTTATCAATGGGTTATCCTCTTGTTCCACTCAGGATCAAAAAGGGAGAGTAAAGTTGGTGGACGCTGATGGAATCGTGCGAGGTCCGATCGCAATGCCAGAAGATATTACCAAAGCGTTGGAGAAAAGGGAATTGGCACGGCTGCAAATGCCAAAGGTCGAGATTTTCCTGTTCAAGGGGGAAAGAGTATCAGGGTGGCTTGAACTACTAGAGCAGGTTACGATTGAGGCTTATGAGCCATATAAGTTTAAAATGATGCCTCGATATGTCTGGTGGGAAATCCGTCCAGAGGTCATGAAGGAGTGTGGGCGAGCTTTAAGGAAGGGATGCAAAGTTGATGTAAGTTGGGGAATGGCTGATGAAAGCAGACCTGGATGTTTTAAGCCAAAATGAATTCACCATGGTGGGCGTGCCACAACTTTTTGAAAAAATGGCAAAGAGGATTCCCGGGATGGCGGAAGAAGAGCAATGTGCAACCTTTCTAGGGCACGTCACGAACTTCGGATGTCTGTGCTAACAAAGCACGGTGCCCCAGGGAAGAAGTTAGCATGGGCCGCAATTCAAGGGAGCTTGGCAGACATAGAACAGGACCAAGTAGACCTCTTCCAAATGAGGCAAGCCAGAACGAAGAGAAAAGCCATGGACGTCACGGCAGGAGGCAGCCAAGACCTTAAGAAGCTGGTAGAGGAGGTGGTGGCACATCTTGAGGCGTCAAAAGAGGCGAAGGCCCCAAAGAAGGTTATGATAGTGACGCAAGTCTAGGGGAAAGGCAAGAAGGCGGTAGTGAGGGAGGAGCTAGAAGAAGAAGAAGAGGAGGAAGAGCCTGACCCTTCGAAATGACAAAGGCTCAGTGGAAGGCCAAGAATCTCGCACAAGGGGTATAAGGCTCAAGAAGGGGCCAATCCCCTCAAGCCGCTGCGATGCCGCCACCCGACTCACAAGGCCAAGCAGGGATGACGATGCCATCATGGCCGGGCTATGGACCTCGGAGTCCCTGACCCGGGTATAACCCCTATGCGCCATGGCCAGTAGGTGGGCAGTATGAGGTCTATACAGGGGCTCCAATGTACACAGGGGCTCCAATGAGTGTGGCATCTTGTGGGTTTCCAGGTCCTTAAGCTCAACAAGCAAGTCAGACGAACCCACAGCCAAGCCAGTCAGCACTTCAAAGATCTCAAGGGAACCAGGGTGGCGGACGTGGTCAAGGCCAAGGATGGGGGTGAGGTAGAGGAAATGGAGGTCGTGGGGAGGTGGAAGAGGAAACGGTGGTGGTAACACCGAGGTAGGAGGACAAGGGGATGAGAGCAGGTTAACCGAGCACCCATTTTTCAGGCCCATTTATAAGAAAACCAGTCAGTCATTTTAACAACACTTCACACCAATCTATAGAGTGCACTTCTTACGACCCCATCACAGAAAAAAACCCTTAAAAAAAACAATTAAAAACATATAAAACAACAAGCCAAAGGTGCATTTCCATGAAATTCGGCCCAAAAAAAACTCGACCAATTTCAAAAATTTCAGAAATCTTAATAGCGCAAATTTTAAAACTTCAAATAACCCCAAATTTCATATACGGCAACCCTATCAAAATGCATATATAGCAAAAACTTAAAATTCCAAAAAAACATGAAATTTGAGCCCAAAACCCTAATTTCAGAAATTTCAGGCCTGAAAACCAGATGCCCCGTTAACCTCTTGTGTTGGAATGCGTCAGGGAATAGAGGAGGACAAAAAGGTAGGCAGGGATATGATAGAGGAAGAGTGGATTGAAGGAATGCAACCTGTCGGCATTGTGGACAGAAAGAGTATATTGGAATGCGTCAGGGAATATAGGAGGACAAGAAGGTAGGCAGGGATATGGTAGAGGAAGAGTGGATTGAAGGAATGCAACCTGTCGGCATTGTGGACAGAAAGAGTATATGATCAAGTTCTACCACGTCCGGAGGAATGATGAAGACGAAGGGTTGATTAGTACAAACATAGATGGAGACGTCTATGACAAATTCGGTAATTATATCGACCTATGATTCCGGGTGGGACGAGAAGAGAGGCTCTGCAAAGAGCAAACGCGGGAAATGCACTTGCCCCGCCAGCTATGTGTCGTATCTGGCAAGAAGAAGAGGCACACCCTGTCGTGAGAGTGGAGGAGATAGGAGAGAATGAGGAGGTGGAGCAGAAGGTAAAACCAGACACCGTGAAAAAAGAACCCATTGTGGTGGAGTCGGATGGCGAGAAAGAAGACGGTTGTTGGGTTGAGGCCAGGAACACGCTGGAGAGAATGGAAATCTTGGTGGAAAAGGTCGGGAGATATCAAAGGAAGCCATTCAGTTTTGCGAGGAGATTAGCAAGTGGAAAGGAAAGAGACCACTTGTGTATCTCTATGACTCGGGTCCGGGACAGATGGGAGAACCTGGGACTCTGTCAGGCGTGACAATTTCGGGGTCGGGCCCACGATCTGGGATGACTTTAGCCCACCATCAAGGCAAGGAAGAGCGTTGTTGGCAGTCAGGACCAGGGCTAAAGGATCGGTGAGCTTAGATCAACCAGCTAAAGATATTCCTAACCAAGTGGAGAGAAAGAGGAATTTCAAGTCCCAAAGGACGAGGATGAAGAGGAAGAGAGGTTGAGGCAGGAAGAGGATAGAGAGCGGAGCAGAGAGCCAAAACGAGGGGCGTTAAGACCGACACGGATAAGGTCCAAGGAGGAAAGACGAAGAAATACATTGTCCTAGTCGAAGAAGGCTATGATATAAAAGAAATGATGGACAGGATCCTTGAGGGTCATAATCACCTTAATAACCTAAAGGATGTCCTGGCTTCAACCCCTAGGTTTCGAGACGAGCTCAAAGCTCGGCTATCCAAGAAGGTGGTGTCTAGCCTGCGCCTAGGAGCTATAATTCCCAAGGAAGCAGAATGGGCAGAAACGGGCACCAAAATGGATTGGAAGTTTGTGGCATGTGGGTGCTTTGAAGTGATTGTCAAAGGGAAACCGTGTACAGCAATGGATAATGGTGGATACAGGTGCATAAAGGAGGAACATGCTTTGCACCTAGGGATGGAGATTGATCGCTCCGACAATGGAGTACTTATGGGAGCGAATAGTAGGTCAGTAATTGTGGCGACCGCGTGCAGCGTGGTCGTGGAGATTAGGAAAGTAAAGGTGAGGAGTTGTTTCTTCGTAATGCTAGACCCTAACAGATAGACCATCAAGGTGGGTAATGCTCGACAAAAGGGTGACACCATGCAGGGTCGATCATGAAAAAAGGGGGAGCCTGGAATAGGATGGAGATATGCCTGACTGAAGGCATGCAAGAGCCGGCGCTAGGGTGATGAGGGCAGTGGGTGAGGGAAACACGCACAGAACTCACTGACTGGGGGAGGGAGCTAGATCTGGGAGCAAGGAAGCCAAGATAACGCTACAGTCCCAATGCCTATGCGATACCAAGGGAGAGCCCAACTCAAGGAGACCCAGCTAAGTGAGAACCATCATGCGACAAATGCAAGGGAATATACAGGGTAGAGTGGTGGTATGTGTGTGGGGGGGGGGGGACGCTGGGAGTCACGTCCAAAGTAGTTGAAGCCGATAAGGTGGTTGAAGTCGAGAATGTAGCTGAAGTCGTTGAAGTGGTCGATGACGTCGATGAAGTAGCAGTCGAGTCGATGTCGAAGCAGAGCCGCAAAACGCTGACCTCCTGAAGAAGCTGATGATGAAGTACCTGACGGTGTGTGTCAGTATGGAGATAGTAGGTGATCAGAGTGTCAATCGTCAAGATGCCGAGGGCATCGACGAGTGTGTTGTGGACGTGCGGAGGCGTCCGTCTACTGTTGAAGAACGGCCTCAGAGGGAGCGGGCTCGTCCTCAGCGATCTCCTCAGTTGAAGGAGGAGGAAGAGGGTCAATTGGCTGAGTAGGAGCAAATGTCTCAGCACGACGAGCACGATCATATGCACGCACCAACATCCGTGCGTGCTCCAAATGCTCGAGGGGCTCCTAAGTAGCCTCCTCATCAGGATAACCGTTCCAACGCACAAGGTACTCGATGCGTGGAGGGATATCATTTGTAACTCGGCGAGGTACGATGTCAGAAAGACGAACTCCTCGTGACTGTCCACCATGATAGGTGGAGGGCGCTCATAAGGACGTCCGACGAAGCGCAGGGACGGTGCGATAAGGACGCAGCAAGGAGACGTGGTAAACATCGTGTACGCGAGCCTGTTGAAGGTAATCAGGTAGCTGCACACGGAAGTTGACCGGGCTAGCAGCAGTATCAGAACCGACAGCCTGAAGGATGCGGCATGGACCCAAGAAACGACGCCTCAACTTGCGAAGCGTATCTGCTTCGAGTTGTAAGTGGCATGCGTCAACGAGCACATCGTCACCGACTTTGAATGGGTGATCCATTTGTGATGAGTTTGCTCGTGCGACCATGCGAGTCTGGGAATCGGCTAGACTCTTGTGTGTGCGCTTCATAATCGCCGTCATGTGGGCGATCCAGTTATCCAGCGCAGGACAACGAGTATTTGGGCACAACCGCGATGGTCGTAGGAAGTCCGCGGGTACGTGAGGGTGGTAGCCGAGGTGGCAATAGAATGGCGACATCCCCGTGGCTGGCGAAACAGTGTGGTTGTACGCAATCTCCGCGTGGGCTAAGTCCCACTGACTTTCGGAGGATATTACCGAGAGTTTTATTGTTGACCTCAGTCTGACCATCCGTTTGAGGGTGGTAAGACGATGAGAAACGGAGTTGGGATCCGTACACCTCGTGTAGGCGTCGCCAGAATGTGCTGGTAAAGTGCGGGTCACGGTCGGAGATGATGCTCTGAGGTACGCCGTGATCTCGCACGACTTAGTCGAAGACGATGTCGGCGACCTCACTGGTGCTAATGCGATAGAGGCACGGGACAAAACGTGCACACTTCGTAAAGCGATTGACTGCGACCAAGATACCATCATGACCGCGCTCAGTGGGTGGGCGGAGGGGATCAATGAAATCCATCGAGATGAATTGCCAACGATCCTTGGGTATGGGTAAGGGCTAAAGTAACCCATACGGGAGGTGGTTCGCACTGTTCACCTCTTGACAGGTAGGACACTCCTGGATGTAGGCTTCGACGAAGTCCTTGGATTTCTTTCAGACATATAGGCGGTAAACACGAGCCAACGTCTTGTGGAAGCCCATATGACCGGCAGCTGCCTGGTCATGGAACTCTGCTACAGCCTGGACGCGGGGCTGTCCGATGGAGGGAACGCAGATACGTCGTTCTAGCTAATCAAATCTGCCATGCCAGTACACGAGATCGTTCTCGCCAAGGGAGTATGAGGGAACGGTCTTGCCACTCCGCAGTGTCACGTGGATGACGCGATAATCCGGGCAGTGACGGTACTTGGTGCAATATGCGTCGATCACCGACTGAGCAACAATGGTGATGGAGATGGCAGCAAGATGGATGGTTCGTGATTATGATCAGGACGGCAGGACAAGGCATCGGCGACGCGGTTCGTTTCACCCTTGACGAGCTGAGTGGTGAAACTGAACTCGAATAAGTCACGCCACCAACATGCCTGTCGAGGGGAAAGCTTGGGCTTCGTGAGGAAAGCCTGGACAAATGAGTTGTCCGTGCGCACCGTGAAGGGCACCCCGTGCAGGTAATGATGCCAGTGTTGGGTAGCATAAACTACTTCGAGAACCTCACGTTCATCGACACTGTAGTTTATCTCGGCAGGCAGTAGCTAACAGGAGTAGAAGGCGATCGGGCAATCCCCAGCACGAGCCTCAACAGTCCCATCCTCCGCGATGATCGGGGAGTAAGTAATGGGAGGACTGTTGGTGGAAGGAAGTGGTGGGAGGATAGGCGTCAGTCGAGAAGCAGTGTCAATAGGAGGGGGGGGGGGGRGGAGGAACATGGGGATAAGGTGAATCAGGAGGAGAGGGAAACACCTGAGAAAGTACTACTCCTACTGCAAAATCTGACGCATCAGTGGTGACGATAAAGGGGCGATCTAAATCTGGGAGGCGAAGAACCGGCGCACAAGTCACTGCCTTCTTGAGGGCGCGGAAGGCGTCCTCACAGAGGGGTGTCCAAAACCACGGCGGGTTCTTCCGGAGGAGGGTGGAGGTAAGGACGTAGGAATACCTAGCGTATCCCTGGATAAAATTACTATAGTAGCTGGTGAGGCCTAAGAAACTGCGAAGCTGCTTGGCAGATGTGGGGACGGGCCACTCTGCAATAACAGTGATCTTCGCGTTGTCCATGTGGAGACCCTGGTCAGACACATGGTGTCCTAGGAAGTCCACTTTGCACTGGGCAAAGCGGCACTTACTAAGCTTGGCATAGAAGCCATGCTTGCGTAAGCATTGCAGGACATCGCGGAGGTGTCTGATATAGTCTTCTAAGGTACGACTGTAGACCAAGATGTCATCCAGGTATACGAGAACGTATTCTTCAAGGATGTCCCTGAAGATGTCGTTCATCACCGTCTGGAAGGTGGCGGGTGCATTGGTGAACTCGTAGTGTTCGAAGCGCGACTGGAAGGCGGTCTTCGGCTGATCCTCTGCGGCAACGCGGATCTAGTGATAACCGCTACGAAGATCGATCTTCGTGAAGAAGCGGTTGCCCAAACAGCTCATCCGCGCGGGGCATGGGATAGTTGTTCTTAACCGTGTAACGGTTAAGGCCGCAGTAGTCGATACAGAGGCGGAGAGTTTCGTCCGCTTTGCGAGCAAAGAGGACAGGTGCACCCCAAGGGGAGTGACTGGGTTTAATGAAACCCAGTCGAAGGAGCTCCTCAAGTTGACGCTTGAGTTCCGTCGCCTTTGGAATTGAGAGTCGGTATGGTGCCTGATGGTGAACACAATAGTCAGGCACGAGATGGATAAAATGCTCAACACCGAGCATCGGAGGGATCCCGTTGTATGAGAAATACGATGGGAAGACTTCGTCGTACTCTCGAATCAGGTCGCGAATTGCGGGCTCTAAGTCTGCCGTGAACTGTGTGAGTTCCTCAATGTTTGTGTCGGCATGAGACGTATATGTGGACTCGACAGTCGACGACGCAGGGGCCTGGGACGTGGAGGGGGTATCCGCAGGTTGACGGGTGGACATAGAGATGGGAGCCGCGAAGATGGAGAAAGGGTCAGGGGGATCGGGCTCCAAAGAGATGAGCTCAACGTCGGGATAGAGTGGATCATAGCGAAGAAGATCCATGATGTTCACTGAGTAGAACGTGACGTCCTCCTGTCGTATGAAGTGAGCAAACTGACGAGGGGAAGTGAAGGTGATGTCGGGGTGGGACCCTGAGGGACGAGGGTCCTGGGGAGGTAGGTCGGGAGGGGTGTCGAAGGGGACGCGATGGGTCTGACCACACTTCGTTTTGAGAATGAGTGTCTCGGTCGGTCGCCCATTCGGCCTCTGTGCCATGGAACCGACGAGACCAGGGAGTGCCAAGGATAAAGTTGTACCCAGTCTCCAGCACGTCGAAGTATGCAAAGGAATGGTAGCGCCGAGGTGCCTGGGTACTATCCGGTGGCTGGACGGCGAGGGAGAAGTAGAGGTCGGAGACCGTCTGATCGAAGAAGCGTTGTGTCTTGTTATCTTCGAGGGTAACGGAGATAGGAGAGCGAGACCCAGAGGTAGCTAGGCGAGCTTCCTCAACCACTCGAGGGTGAACAAAATCTCCCTGCGAGCCAGAGTCCCATAAAGCGCGGTACACCTTCGTAGATGTCCCTAGGCGAATAGGGATGATGGGTAGGGTGCGATCAGGGTCAAAAAGTTGAGCGAGAAGACGACGCATGATGTTGACGTGTCTCATGAGTCACTCTTGACGAGCCTGAAGAATGCTAAAGTCCAGGAGAGATGACACAACGTCATCGCGAGTCGCCAACTGAGCGCTACAACGGGCTGTGCGAATGGCGCGACGCGTCGGAAGTCTCGGAGGGGAAGCACAAAATGTGGCGGTCTGCTGTGAGGCAGACGGTACCTGGACATACGACGGGGCAGAGGGAAGTGCGTCTGTCGTGTCATCCTCTGGTGGGGTAGCCAAAGGGGCAAACCGCGACTCGGTGGTCGGGAAGCCAGCTACGTGCGAGGCCTCCGTGGTACACTGCACTGTGGCTAGCTGGGTGGGGCTGGTCGGGCGGGGCCGAGGGGGGACTGAGATCGACGCTGACGAGAGATGTCAGCATAGTGTCGATCGAGGGCAGTATGGTATGGACACCGTGACGAGGTGTGTCCATCCAGGCGGCAACGAAGGTAGCCACGCCGGGCCTCAAGGGCGGCACGCTCCTTAGGGGATAAGCAACTGCACATCCTCTGGTATTGACGTGCAGCTTCGTATGCCTGCTCCGCGGAAGAGAATGATCGCCTCCATAGCTCTAAGCGGTAGTCAATCGGCAGGCTGACAAGGAACCGGTCGGTGAGTGTGACCTCCGGTAGGAACGTCTCGTCACAAACAAGGCGAGCGTCCTGAAACACCCGGATGTGACGCTCCAGGTCGACCTGTACAGACGACCCGGACCATCAGGTCTGGGTGACGCGGTCTAAGGCGTCGGTGGCGTCATGACGAGCGCCGAAGCAGTCCTGAAGGAAGGCCGCGAAGTCTGCCAGAGTGGGGACCTCACCCACGTGGAGGTGCTGGGTATAATGATCCTCCCACGCAGTGGACGGACTGCATCGCAATTTGGTTGCGAGCACATTGCACCGCTGCTCCTGACGAGTGGTCGTCAGCGAGAGTGTACGCGTTGCTATCTGCAACCAGACACGGGATGTGCCATCATACTCGGGAATGTCCGAGGTGTGCACAGGAGGATGTCCACCGCGCTGACGGCGGGGGGAGAGAGATCGAGGTGACTGCGTTGCGGCGGTGTAAGCCGGGGCCGTTGCAGGGGCAGAGGTGGGAAAAGGCTGTGGGCCGTAGCTGTTGGCGGATGGATCAGCAGACGAGGAGAAAACAGGGGCCAGCAGCTGTCCAGGAATGGCTAGGTAAGAGGGGAGAGGATGAGGAGTCAGTCGAGGGAAGGGTGAGCAGCCTGTGAAGGGTGAGGCTGTCTAAGGGCCAGGATCTCCGCCTGAGCCTGCGCAATGGTGGCATGTAAAGTGGCCACTGGTTGGGTGCGCGGGGTCGGAGGGGGAGGCGGCGGAGCGGGTCTCCTAGTGGGAGGAGGAGTCCCAACCTGGGTGGTACCCTGCTGTGGGGGTAGGGGAACAAAGGCGGGAAGCGAAGGCGGGAAGAAGAGGGCGGAGTCGTAATGCCGCGACCGGTGCGGGAAGCTGGGAAGCAACATTGGTGTGGGTCGATGAAACTGCTAGGCCAGATGGTGGTATCTGGACCGCAGCACCTGCGGCAGCAGTAGAGACGGTAGGGGCGGCAGGGGCCAAAGGAGGTGCCGCAACAGACGGGGTGGTTTGAGCGGCAGCGGCACTCACCACTGCTGAGTGGGAGTGCTGGGCCTGAGCCACAGGGCAGGAAGAACCACCACGTTCGTGTCGCAGGAGTCGTGGGGAACCGGTCGGTGAGCCGGCAGGGGATGGGGTGTGAGAGTGGAGGGGAGAGCGGTGGGAAGAGCCCTTGAGGCGGTTGACGTCAAGGGCAAGCGCATTGATTTGCGCTTGCAATGGTCCAAGCGTACTATGTTGCGCCTGGGTTGCTACAAGGACGGCATGAAGGTTTATGGTGTCTGCATGGGCCTGATCATGAGCCGCTGACTGCGTGGTGACCTGGGATGTGGACTGTGCCGCGGCGATTTCCTCGGTTGTAGCGCTCTCCGTGCGTAGTGGAGGAGGAGAAGTAGGCATGGTGGGGGGTAGGGAGATATGGGTCGGCTCGCCCCGTGACCAGCGGGTCGCGCATGAGATGGTGGCGCGAATCCGGTCGAGGGGAGAGGAGCCATTCGGGTCCACGGTGCCCGACAGGAGGAGGCGGGAGAGTAAGGGGGCGGGTTTAGGAGAACCCTAAACCTTAGAGAAACCCTAAGAAAACCGTAACCGGAGTTTAGGTGGTCAGGGGAGGGTAGCGGCGACCTAATCAAGAAAAGAAAATAATAACTATAGAAGAGAGGGGGAGAGAAAATGGAATAAACAGTGATTTTTTTAGATAAAAATAAAATAAAAGAATAATTAGAAATAAGTAAATAAATCAAATGTAAAAAGGGAGGAGAGAGAGAACTTTTCCTTTTTTGGAATTTTCAGCAACATTTTCCCACCTCACATGGGGTCAAAAATGTGCCAAGAGGAAGGAAAGAGCAAGAGGAGCACACTAACTTTCAAAATGCTGCAAATTAAAATTTTCAAAAAAATAATAAATAAATAAATAAATAAATAAATAAGGAGGTGGAGGAGAGTGAAGAGAGAGGAGAGTGAAGAGAAACTAAGTGTTGGAATTTTTCAAAAATTTTGGCAGCATTTCGCTACCCCCATGGGGTCGAAGTGTGCCGTCAAGAAAAAGACTAAAGTAAAATGGGAAAATTTGGCCAGCGCTTCGCTACCCCCTAGCAGGGAGGAAAGACAAAATTTCGGCAGCACTTCGTTACCCCCAAGGGGTCAAAATATGCGCCGACAACAGTAAAGACTAAGTCCTAGCAAGATATAGAGGTGCTGCAGAAAAATTCAAATTTTCAAAACAAAATAAAAATAAAAATAAATCAGAAAATGAGAAAAGAAGTTGGGAATAAGATAATTCGAATTTTTGGAGGAAAAGAGAAAATTTAAATCAAAGAGAAAGAGAACAGAAGAAAAACAGAAAATTCGAAGTTGGGTGGGGGGGGGATGGAGAAGTGATGAAGAAAGAGAGGAATGTAATAACCCTGCTCAGAAGTAGCCTGGGGCCCAGAACTCAGCCCTAGGCCACGCAGACCTGAGAAGGTCTGCGCTGGACTGTGTGACCAAGACACGCCCAGGCCTGAGTCTGTCGTGTGTGGTTGTGTGACCGAACGATGCACGCAGGAAATTCAAGAGTCAAAGGTACTGCACCCAGGCCCTAGGTTGGATACACTCACTTGTTGTGCGCAGGTACCCAGACAGCATTCAGGCCGGAGGGAATTCGGTTTCAGGCCGATCCGAGCCCTCATTCACACTGAGATCTGGACGGCCGAGGGATACAGCATCTGGGGTCCAGACCCCGCGTCAACACTACATAAGAGTTGACTTCCTGGCTTTGACATTCATTCTGTCTTGCGTTGAGGCTGACTCCACGCGTTGACTACTACGCTGGCTCAATGCTGGCTGGACGCTGGCTATGCCGGCATTCTCGGCAACGCGCTGCTTGTCCGACATGGTGGCTGGCTTGCACCTGTCTTCATGGTATGCTGACGTGGCAGCTGCCACGCACTGTTGCTGAGGTGGCCGCTGCCACGTGTGTGATGGGCTGAGGTGGTTGTGGCCACTAATCTACTGCTGATGTGGCGAGGCTACATATGTGTAATGTTGTTCTACAGATCGTCATTCAGGAGGTGATCAGGACTGAGGAGAGATCGTGATACTTACCTGGAGTCTTCATGTCAACATTGCTTCATTGCTGATGTGGAAACGATTGGTTGTGCCACGTGACACTTTGGAGGATACTAGAGATACTCATTCAGATCATTGATTTATGCGGAGGTGCTGGAGGAAGAAGCCCGTGGAGAAGTGGGCACTGTCTATCTCCCTCCTGTCTCAATCTCTTCTCCCTCTCACCTCCTTCGTCTGTGTATGTCTTCTCATCTATTGGGTATCTGGCTACGATTGTGATTATTGATTATCGTCAGTTGTTCGACATTTTGGACTTACACTGTTGATATTGTCTTCACGATCTGGGTTCATTGCAATTTGGTATCAGAGTAGTTCTCCTCTTTGACGACATTGTGTGTAGCCGCCAGGTGGCGCACAGGTAAGTGTAGTGTATACTATGACTAATTAGGTGATGACGTGGCAAGGGATACGCTGGGGGTGATGACGTGGCACATACCTTTCTGGCGAGGATACATTGCCAGGGTTGTTAACGAATCACTGGCGAGAAGACATTACCGGGGCTGCTGACAAGATAGAGGCTTCATTAGCAAGAAGAGATCCCTACCAGGCTGCTGACGTGGCAGTAGGGGCTGTGATTGGAGATACCGCATGCCAGTCTGGACCGCGATAGTGACGTAACATCGCGATCCCCTACTCTCGTGGCACATGTTGTGCCACGTCTAAAGACTCTGCTAACGATTGAGGATGTGGCACACTTAGTGCTGCTGACACGTGGCAGAGTCTACTACAGATGCTGACGTGGCCTGGAGGACACGGAGATGATTGCTGACGTGGCAGGAACAGGACATCACACCTGTCTTCATAAGGTGGTGACTGCCGGCCTGACGTGGCATTGAACTCTTGGCTGACGTGGCATGATTTGACTGGCTGGAACGGCGACGGCGTCTCATGAGAAGATTGAAAGAGGCAAGTGGCGAGGATCAGGCTACACATTTGTTGACGTGGCATTCCATCATTGACAGACTCAAGTGCTGGCGTGGCAACATAGGCTATGTTGGCATTCCGGGAATGACACGTGGCAGGCAGGATACTGCCAAGTAAAAGGAGCACTCTACAGACCACGGCGGTACAACTGACTCGACTGTTTATACAGCTGTAGTGCCAGCTGTCAAGGGGAGTGCGTGATCGCACAGACATCAAGAAGACAACAAAATTGACGAAGTTTGCTGACAAACTGTTGTAATTGTTGTTGGCATACTTACCTGTTGTTGCTGTGTGTGGTGTTTGCGTACTTACTTGTGTGTTGTGTCTGATCACACGGGCCTGACGTAGTACCTGTACATTGCATAGGACGTCATCACATAGACAAGGGAAAGAATAGCAGTTAGTAAATTAGAATCTGTTTCTTTTTATTATTTATTTTTATTTTTTTGTTCCACCATTGCGAATACCTTATCGAATTTGACTTCCAAAATGTTGGGCATGTGGAAAATCCTCTTTACTTTTTTTCCCCATGACGTTCTTCTCGGGTGAGGGAACCTTCGAGCTAAAGACGCGAAGACAGGCGGAGGGAACGAAGCAGGAACTACTAGCACTGTGGAACCAACTCTTGAACGATCTGCATCTGCCCGGACTCGTCGCTGAACGGCACGTCCGTAATCTGTTTGACTTGAAGACGGTAGAGGACCACCTGAAGAAAGCAATTACGGGCGTGGAAGTTGCAGCAGCCGGGGCCGAAGTCTCCAAAATGATAGACCAGTTCGCTATCAAGCAGTTGGAAGAAGTCATGGAGTCATCAAGGAAAGGAGAAGTTAAACCTGAAGTGACCGAGGCAACCATTGATGCTAACATTCAGCAGTTAAGAGAGACGTTGGCTGCTGAAGAAAAGAAGAAAGAAGAGTTAGCTCGGAAACGAGAATATGAATCAAGAAGGGAGCAGAAAGTAAAAGAAATCAGGCAGGTTATAGGAACAGACGGGAAAGAAGAAAGTGATATGACGCAAACTTTCTACCACATTATGACTTATCTTTCCTTCCTTGAAGAAAAGATAGACCGTCAGCAGAGCCAGTTAGATGAGATTGTTGTTGGACTCAGAACCATCACAAATATTGTGAAAGGTAAAAAGCAGGTAGAAGAAAAGGAGGAAGATAAAGAAGAAAAGAAACCAGAAAATAAATTGACGAGTGATGCTATTAAGTCTACATTCCCTCCTTCTACTCCTCCCTCTCCTCCTTCTACTCCTCCCTCCTCTCCTCCTTCCTCTCCACCTCCGAAGTCTCCTCCTCCTAAGGATAAGGTAACTGCGGAACCTGAAAGCCAAAGAAGAAGGAGAAAGTAAAGATGAAAATGCCTTCTACGTTCTTCAACAAGAAGGATGAAAACTTGTTGCTGTGGATTGCCGAGATTCAAACTTACTGTAAAACGTCTCCTATTGAACCCGACGCTCAAGTTGCTTTCTCTACTTCGTGCCTTGGTGGGGAGGCAAAAGAATGGTTATTGGCAAAAGTTAACGCAGCGAGGTTCGAGGACATTGGGGAGTGGTCTGGAACCATGAATCTGAAGCAGTTCCTTGGAA